CACACTGCCTGTACAAAACCCACCACCTCCCCTTTGACAAAGCTCCAACACTGTTGATAAAATAACGGGTTCAGTCCATCCTTACCGGGAGCTTTGAGTGCTCCCATCGCTTTCACCGCACCATATAACTCCTCCTCCATAGGCTGTTGATCAAGAGGCCACCACGACTGAGATGGGAGCTCCCCAAAAGCTGCAGGGATCGTTGCTAACGGTAGCCCATCATCTGTATAAAGGAACGAGTAATACACCCTAGCCATCTCAAGAAGCTCTCCCTGCTCGTCAACCCATTCTCCTCTTTCATTCTTTAGAGCTACCACTCTATTCTGCCGACGCCGCTGGATAGTTTTCGTGTGAAAGTACTTCGTATTACGATCTCCCATAGTATTCCAATCCTCCCTCGACTTCTGGCACCATAACAGCTTCTCTTGAAACAAAATTTCCTCCAACTCGTCACGTGCCTGCCGTAGCTCCACACAATCTGATTCACCTCCATACCGCAACTCCAGCCGCTCAATGGTAGCCATTAATGAATCTTTCTTCCGAAGAATATGCCCAAAAGTTGAATAGTTCCAGCGTTTAGCCTCCATAGTAAATTCCGAAATTGCACTTAGCAAACTTGTCCCACGTCCCCATGCACTCTCTGCCATTTCCATAAATCCCTCATGTATCAGCCAAGGAGCCAAGAACTTGAAGGGCTTAGCTCCAATGGCTTGAAACTGCGGATTCAGTTGGAGTACAATTGGGCGGTGATCACTTTTCTTAACTCTAGGGAGATGTTTCACTGTAGCTTCAGGGAATAACGTCGACCACTCCATGTTTGCCAGGCCTCGGTCCAAACGTTCTTTCAAGTCTGTTCTGAACCAAGTGAATGGGGGACCCATATAACCTAGGTCCACCAACCCAGAGTCCAGAACACACTCTTGGAACTCCCGGGCTCGACTCGCATCGAACGGTGCCCCTCCCATCTTGTCAGCTGGGTACAGTATGGAGTTGAAATCTCCAATAAGGCTCCACGGCCCCTCCATATTCTCCGCTAGCGACCTGATCGACTGCCATAGCTCACGTCTCTGTATAAGGGCTGGGTTGCCATACACTACCGTAAGACTCCAACAATCATTTCCACACTGGACCCGCGAATGCAGGAACTGGGCTGACCTCTCCACTTCAGTAATAGTAACGATAGATGAATCCCATACCACCCAAATGCCTCCTGAGTAGCCCACTGCATCTACAATCAATTCTTTATCATAACCCATTCCGTGTACTACCTCCAACGCCTTATCACCACTGATGCGAGGTTCCACGATAATGCAAACACACGGTTGATATTTTCTACGATATTCTCTGAACATTCTCAGGAAGCGTTTGCTACCTGCACCCCTACAATTCCACATAAAGATGTTTAGCTTCATAGCAACTAGAATATGTAGGTCCTCGGCTTACGCCCAAACACTAAGTTGACAGGGAGGCCCCAGAGCTGAGGCCCCCTCCCAAGCTTCTCGTACTATCTCCCATTTTTGGATCCTCCCTGGTCATGACTGTCCTCGAGCCTGCTGATGGTTCGCTACGATTCGGAGGACGTCGACGGACACTCTGGTTCTTATCCTTGTCACCAAGTAACGTGGTAGCATGATGGGTATCCTTCAAACCCGATTCCATTTGATTCTCATTAAGTACGTCGCTAGCATGCATCGACGTAGGCAGCTGCTCCATCAAGGGCTTCACAGGTGGCACACTTGACTGTGGCACTGAATTGCTTCCAACGTCGGGGCAGTCTAAGTCTGTATTCTCCATGTAACCTCTCTCACCTGGAACAATTCTGATTGGCTCTTTTTGCTTCCCGCCTGCCTTCTCCTTCCATTGAAGTTTCGCTGCATTTGTTCGCACTTTCAGACCCTGTTGGCTCTCCCTCGGAAAGGTGTCACCCTTCGGTTGCGACGCCATCATTGGTTCCACACTCTCCTCCTTCCCAAGAACATTAAATCTTGAACCCATATTGTTGTTGATATTATGTCCACGATCTTTTCCCTTATTTGCTCCCTCCGCTGTGCTAGCATTATCTTTTCGACCCCGCGTCTTCCTCCTGGCAATCATCCATTCACCATAAACCTGCTCGTGATCACCGTCCACTGGCCGTGGTTGCGATTCGGGGGTTTGGGGGCTTTCCTCTTCTACAGCAGCTCCGGTTTCCATAGCCTCCGGTGGAGCTTCACAAGAGCACCGACCCCGTACTGAATGAAGTACTTAATTCCGTGAATCCTGAACTGAGACAAAAGGGGCTTAGTCAGGTCCACCTGAACACATATTCTCGCATAGTCCAATCTAGCTCCCGTACTTGTCGCGTGATCTACTCGGATCGGCTTCCCAATACGTTTACCTATCTTCATCACTGCTTCCGGGTGGAAGTAGTGCGCCGGTAGATCAAGTAGACGAGCCCAAACCATTGTAGAAAGTATTTCATGGCGGTAAGGGTTAAAGCTCTTATCCCACATATGCACCGTAAGATAGTGGTCACCCATCGTCCACGGACCTCCTGTAGTGGCTCGTTCATAATCAAGGCCGCTGGTGAAACGTACAAGATAATAGCCATTCTTTGCCGACGCCACTTGGATAGACCCCGCCTTTGCCCATATAGCATTCAACCTAGTTGCAATCCCGGTATACGAGACCGATCTCCCCAACACTTTCACCACTAGGGCAGATCTATATTGCCTGCAGAACCTTCTCTCCTCAGCGGCGGTGAAGTGTATCGGGGGCACACTGGGTCATCATCCTCACTATCCGACCCTTCATCTCTTCCATCCTGCCTCATGGCCTCCGCTACTTCCTCAGAATCTGAGTCTGCTACATACCACGTATCTGATCTCAGAACATCACTAAACAATCGTCGCGCCGCCCCCGATCCCGAACCCGAGCTCCATGCCGCCGCTGGTTTATTATTAGCTTCCTGACGGTCCCCTGGAATCTCTTGGGCGTCGACTATTACCTCATCATTGATCTCTCCCGTCGACAGGGGCTGCACCGTAGGTTTGACCCTCTTTTTACTTTGTTGTGTTTCTCTATCCCCTTTCGGGTTGGGTGACGACGTTGCCGACGGCGGTCGTCGAGTTCCTGCTATGTTCTCAGTACTGTTCTGTGGTCCGAGGTCCGCCTCCGCCGACGGTATGGCCGCCGCCGACATCAAGGACGCAAACCCTAGCGCAAAATAGTAGACTTATCATAGTTTAATAAGCAAGATAAGAGACACTTTAATTAATGACAATTAACAAAAAAAATCTAAAGGTAGTGGTTTGGTTAAAAAGGTAATACTATTACTTCTTTAATTTTGGCAATTAATTTAGCTCCATGGATTCCTCTGGAGTTGTCTAAGACCGGCTACTATAAATACGTGTGCCCAGTCCAATTCCCACTTCCATCCAATACTACTCCGCTAAGAAAGCGACTCTCCAATTACTGCAACAATTACATGTAGATGGAAATTAAAGCATAGACTATCATGTTCGAGAAAGCGTTGTTCCCCTTTTTACAAGTCTATGATCTTGATCCTACAGAAAATGAGGAAGAGCTTTATGATCTTTCGGACGAAATGCAATATCATTGCAGTGCAGATTGTCTTCAAGTCGAGCTTCATGCCATTCGAATAAATTAACATTGTTGTGTATAATAAATTTTTAATTTTCAAAATAAAATATGATTTTATAATGATCTTTTTGTGATTAAAGTGATGGAGATGAACACCTCCTTTGATGAGAGTCAAAGATCAAATATGACCACTAATCCCCACCTAAACATTGAAAAGGTTAAACAAATTGAAAATGAAGGATGGATATGTTTTAGAATCGTTCATATTTAAGTGCATATGTTTTCTCCAATATCCAGGTCAATGCATACTTCATCCAAATGCAAAGTTGTCAAAATAAGAAATGAGCCTGAGATTTTGATGTATAACCTACTTGAGATAATATGTGATATTATCCAAGAGCTTGCTACTGTTGAATCGAGCTTACCGAGCTTCATGTAATTTGCATCAGTGTATTATAAATTTGGAGTGGAAAAAATGATTTCATAGTAATTAGTCTTGCAAAAAAAGTGACGTAGATGCACCACCTTCTCTGACAAGAGTCAAAAATCAAACCCGGCCATCAATCTCCACCAAAATATCGTAAGAGATACATAAATTTAAAATAATGGTTTTAGAGGTGGTAAAACTCTGTTTCACTAATATTTAATAATTAACTGTATCTCTAATATTTAGGGAAACATATATCTACGCAAAATTGCCAAAATAAGAAATGATGTTGCAATTTTGATACATAAAACTTTGTTTCATTCTATAACTCTTATTGGTTTTTTCGATCTTTCACAACTTTTCTACGAATATTTCCTTCTTCTAATATGATTAATTGAAAGCTATCATAAAAAAAGTTTACAAATGCAATGACGAGTATTTTGAGAGAATTTATAACATCAAAGACAACACTCGCTAGGTAACATTATCTTTGCTCTTTCATTATTTATTTGAGAAAATAACATTGTCCCCATTAAAACATATATTTTTGGCTAAGTATGGTACTTCATTGTTGTCGGTTTATAAATTCAGGTTCTAGTTTCTGAGTTATGTGGACAATCGGAATATATTTAACTTGTGCTTAGTGTTTACTGTTTAGCATATTTGGCGATGGGGATAGTAACAATTTGATGAAAAGGAAGACACTATAGATGATGGATGGAGATATAAATTTCCATGATAGAGAGAAAGAGTGAATATAATGTTCTTGGTTTGGATAAAATAAATTCTACCAAGAAAAAAAAATGTTTGATATGAATTTTTGATTTTCCAATACTTTGATAATTTAGATTCTTTTTTATAAAAAATAAAATGTCTTTCATCAAATAATTTTATTGTTATTACCATTAAGAAAAATATATCCAGTCAACTGGACGGACCTAAACCTAATAATGGTGTATGGGTTTTTTAGTGGGGGTTGCTATTCATTGTCCTAGCATAAAAATATATCCAGTCGCCACCATTCGCTGCTGCGTGCTGCCATTACCCGCCGCCGCAACCACAATTCACCTCCGGCACTAATGAACAGGGTGACCAAGTCAAAAGGACAAAGTAATTTCTTAAGAAATTTTCGTAAAAATAGACAACAACTTAGGGGAGAATGAGAATGCTTTGTCATGCTAATCAAAATGACTTGGCTGTTCTTGTATATACCGCCTGAGAGTTGGGACTTGGGAAAGTTATTCGAACTGTTTGGATCCGCTTCTCCGATTTCGTACTGAATGAAGTACTTAATTCCGTGAATCCTGAACTGAGACAAAAGGGGCTTAGTCAGGTCCACCTGAACACATATTCTCGCATAGTCCAATCTAGCTCCCGTACTTGTCGCGTGATCTACTCGGATCGGCTTCCCAATACGTTTACCTATCTTCATCACTGCTTCCGGGTGGAAGTAGTGCGCCGGTAGATCAAGTAGACGAGCCCAAACCATTGTAGAAAGTATTTCATGGCGGTAAGGGTTAAAGCTCTTATCCCACATATGCACCGTAAGATAGTGGTCACCCATCGTCCACGGACCTCCTGTAGTGGCTCGTTCATAATCAAGGCCGCTGGTGAAACGTACAAGATAATAGCCATTCTTTGCCGACGCCACTTGGATAGACCCCGCCTTTGCCCATATAGCATTCAACCTAGTTGCAATCCCGGTATACGAGACCGATCTCCTCAACACTTTCACCACTAGGGCAGATCTATATTGCCTGCAGAACCTTCTCTCCTCAGCGGCGGTGAAGTGTATCGGGGGGCACACTGGGTCATCATCCTCACTATCCGACCCTTCATCTCTTCCATCCTGCCTCATGGCCTCCGCTACTTCCTCAGAATCTGAGTCTGCTACATACCACGTATCTGATCTCAGAACATCACTAAACAATCGTCGCGCCGCCCCCGATCCCGAACCCGAGCTCCATGCCGCCGCTGGTTTATTATTAGCTTCCTGACGGTCCCCTGGAATCTCTTGGGCGTCGACTATTACCTCATCATTGATCTCTCCCGTCGACAGGGGCTGCACCGTAGGTTTGACCCTCTTTTTGCTTTGTTGTGTTTCTCTATCCCCTTTCGGGTTGGGTGACGACGTTGCCGACGGCGGTCGTCGAGTTCCTGCTATGTTCTCAGTACTGTTCTGTGGTCCGAGGTCCGCCTCCGCCGACGGTATGGCCGCCGCCGACATCAAGGACGCAAACCCTAGCGCAAAATAGTAGACTTATCATAGTTTAATAAGCAAGATAAGAGACACTTTAATTAATGACAATTAACAAAAAAATCTAAAGGTAGTGGTTTGGTTAAAAAGGTAATACTATTACTTCTTTAATTTTGGCAATTAATTTAGCTCCATGGATTCCTCTGGAGTTGTCTAAGACCGGCTACTATAAATACGTGTGCCCAGTCCAATTCCCACTTCCATCCAATACTACTCCGCTAAGAAAGCGACTCTCCAATTACTGCAACAATTACATGTAGATGGAAATTAAAGCATAGACTATCATGTTCGAGAAAGCGTTGTTCCCCTTTTTACAAGTCTATGATCTTGATCCTACAGAAAATGAGGAAGAGCTTTATGATCTTTCGGACGAAATGCAATATCATTGCAGTGCAGATTGTCTTCAAGTCGAGCTTCATGCCATTCGAATAAATTAACATTGTTGTGTATAATAAATTTTTAATTTTCAAAATAAAATATGATTTTATAATGATCTTTTTGTGATTAAAGTGATGGAGATGAACACCTCCTTTGATGAGAGTCAAAGATCAAATATGACCACTAATCCCCACCTAAACATTGAAAAGGTTAAACAAATTGAAAATGAAGGATGGATATGTTTTAGAATCGTTCATATTTAAGTGCATATGTTTTCTCCAATATCCAGGTCAATGCATACTTCATCCAAATGCAAAGTTGTCAAAATAAGAAATGAGCCTGAGATTTTGATGTATAACCTACTTGAGATAATATGTGATATTATCCAAGAGCTTGCTACTGTTGAATCGAGCTTACCGAGCTTCATGTAATTTGCATCAGTGTATTATAAATTTGGAGTGGAAAAAATGATTTCATAGTAATTAGTCTTGCAAAAAAAGTGACGTAGATGCACCACCTTCTCTGACAAGAGTCAAAAATCAAACCGGCCATCAATCTCCACCAAAATATCGTAAGAGATACATAAATTTAAAATAATGGTTTTAGAGGTGGTAAAACTCTGTTTCACTAATATTTAATAATTAACTGTATCTCTAATATTTAGGGAAACATATATCTACGCAAAATTGCCAAAATAAGAAATGATGTTGCAATTTTGATACATAAAACTTTGTTTCATTCTATAACTCTTATTGGTTTTTTCGATCTTTCACAACTTTTCTACGAATATTTCCTTCTTCTAATATGATTAATTGAAAGCTATCATAAAAAAAGTTTACAAATGCAATGACGAGTATTTTGAGAGAATTTATAACATCAAAGACAACACTCGCTAGGTAACATTATCTTTGCTCTTTCATTATTTATTTGAGAAAATAACATTGTCCCCATTAAAACATATATTTTTGGCTAAGTATGGTACTTCATTGTTGTCGGTTTATAAATTCAGGTTCTAGTTTCTGAGTTATGTGGACAATCGGAATATATTTAAGTTGTGCTTAGTGTTTACTGTTTAGCATATTTGGCGATGGGGATAGTAACAATTTGATGAAAAGGAAGACACTATAGATGATGGATGGAGATATAAATTTCCATGATAGAGAGAAAGAGTGAATATAATGTTCTTGGTTTGGATAAAATAAATTCTACCAAGAAAAAAAAATGTTTGATATGAATTTTTGATTTTCCAATACTTTGATAATTTAGATTCTTTTTTATAAAAAATAAAATGTCTTTCATCAAATAATTTTATTGTTATTACCATTAAGAAAAATATATCCAGTCAACTGGACGGACCTAAACCTAATAATGGTGTATGGGTTTTTTAGTGGGGGTTGCTATTCATTGTCCTAGCATAAAAATATATCCAGTCGCCACCATTCGCTGCTGCGTGCTGCCATTACCCGCCGCCGCAACCACAATTCACCTCCGGCACTAATGAACAGGGTGACCAAGTCAAAAGGACAAAGTAATTTCTTAAGAAATTTTCGTAAAAATAGACAACAACTTAGGGGAGAATGAGAATGCTTTGTCATGCTAATCAAAATGACTTGGCTGTTCTTGTATATACCGCCTGAGAGTTGGGACTTGGGAAAGTTATTCGAACTGTTTGGATCCGCTTCTCCGATTTCAATTTTGAGAAGAAAATCTTGTGACATGGAATATTCTTGGATCCTCAATTCAACTCCAACAGGTCTAGTAGTAACCGTCTCAAACTCTGCCACCTTCTCCCTTCCGTTAAATAACGCCGGCTAGAGATCATAACTGATCAGCAATTTCATAGCCTCGCCGGCCGAGGGCCGTTTAGCCGATCTCGTCCAACTAGTCGGATCCAGGACATAGTAGAGCACTTGGCCGCATTTCACTAGAAAACTAGATACCGCAAAAAATTATAATTTTTTTTTACAATATCAATTGTACACGTCGATCTTTTGGATTTTGCTACAGTGACATGCATGTCACCGTGACATGAACTTTCCGGTCGACCTAATCCAAAAGGCGGTCGACCGAATTGACTAATTCATGTATGTGAGGTTCCGAGACGCGGCGACCTCTTACATATATGGTCGACCGCTTTGGTGGTCTAACAGAATGAAAGGTCGACCCAAATACCTCATAGGCCGACCCTTGTGCACCTAAAAGGTCGACCGCATTATAAAGCGGTCGACCGCCTTCACACCGTATCCGTATTGGATACGGATTCCAACACCAGAAAGGTTAATGCGGTCGACCGCCTTCACACCGTATCCGTATTGGATACGGATTCCAACACCAGAAAGGTTCCACAATTGGACAAGGAAACGAATTGGGTCGACCCATTCACGTCCTAAATCTCTATAAATACGAATATAAGTCCCCTTCAACGCCACCAAGTCTGAATTAGGTTTTTTTTCCGATTTAGAGCCTTTGTGAAGAAGATCGTTTGCGGTTGCTGTTGTACGTGTTGGAAGTGGTCGACCAAGTCGAAAGTGAGGTCGACCTAATGTATCATTCGCCATCATCTTTTCTAATGCGTGATTTCCACCGTCTAATTTGATATATTGTTGCGTGCAGAATACGATTCGGTCGACCTTGACATCAACCAGGTCGACCTAACGAGACAATTCTTTGGATTTGAATTTAGGGCACAACACTAGGACTTCCGTACTTGCGAGGTAATGAAGATCAACCCAATTGGTCGACCTAATGTGTTTCAAGGTCGACCATTTCTGTTTGTTTTGGTTATTCAACCTGAATGTCGACTTTGGCTTTGTTTGTATGACTATGTTGTGCTTCAAAAGGTCGACTTCGCCAGATATCTGGTCGACCTATCCTTTTTTCGGTTTAATATTGAACTTACTTTTTGTTGTTAATTGTTATTTTCCTGTTGGATAGGTCGACCTATGAAGAACAGAGGTCGACCTTAATGGTTGTGGTAGTCACTATATGTCTTCCAGGTCGACCTAATAATTTGTCAGGTCGACCACGTCTTTGTTTTTTGGTCAATTGTAGAAATTTGAAGTTTAATTATGATTTGAATTTTTCTTTAAATTGTTTAGACGATGACGCATGATGAGAGACTGCATCAAGATTTGGGTGAAATCAGGACATTGTTGAAAACCACACAAGAGAAGCTGGTGGTGTGTCAAACACAAGTCAATGACTTTCAGAAGTCCATGCGTGATAGAGTGGAGCAATTGTCAGTTCGACTGACAGATATGACTGGGATGATGCATGACAGGTTTGAGAGGCTAGAAGGTGCTATCAAAGATATAAGTGCAGAACGAATGGAGAATGGCGGAAGAGATGGTACAGGAAAGAAATTTGACTTTGGTAAAGAGGAGGATGACCATGATGACTTTGAAAATTGCTACCAGTGCATAGACGATTTATTGAAAGAGCACAATTTAAAGGTATTCAAGTATATTCATATGTGATTGAAGATATTAGTATTACTATCATTAGTGATAATTTGTTTTGTTTATATGTTTGACAGAGTGAAACAACGAATGGCAGCAAGGGTTCCTCTCATATGTACAAGAGACCTCGATATGAAAGTGACTCCTACACCACTCCACAGAAGGATCATTTTGTAAGAAAAGGATTATTTAGTGCTGATAGCGATGAAGATGAATCTAAGAGTCCTTTTGAAAATCACGGGGTAAGTTTACGTTACATATTCATCTATAATGTGTGTTTGTGTTCATATGTTATTTTAAATTTAACTATGATCTGTAGGTCATGAAAGTGGAGGGTCTAGAAGGATTCACCAAAAATCTTTAAAATCCAGTTGAAGACTTGTATTATGTTGTTACTAAAGAGAAGGATGGTGACACGAATTGGGACAAGTAAGACGTTTTTTAGTACGTGTGGTCGACCGGTTAGGTCATGAGGTCGACCGTTTATCCAATAAGGTCGACCGTGACTGTGAACAGGTCGACCTGTACGTTGCAAATCACAATTGACATTTCTGTTATTTTGATTTTTGCAGTTTGACCGTTGTTGACTTTTTTTCTGAAAACGTGCAACGAAATTATTTGAGTTCGGTCATTAGCGAGAGTAGTTGGGTTTGCTCATCAGTAAGTACTATACTACTACGACTTTCGTATGAATTGTGCACTATTTATGTTATGGTTTACGAGGATTTTGTGTTTGATTGTTGGATGGTAGGTAGTGGATTTGTG